GCTCCAGACCTGCCTTCTGCTTCCTCTACCCTCACATTAACTAGCTTCATGTTCTTCATGTCCACATCCATAAAACGCATTTTTGGTCCTACTCTCAGCCTCCTGCCCGGTCAGTCCAACTTCAGCATCCTTCTGCCTTTGTAATCATTGTCTCTTCTTTGGACATGTCCAAACCATCTGAGTCTGGCCTCTTTGACTTTATCTTCAAAACATCAAACACGAGCTGTCCTTCTAATGGACTCATCCTTATCCTAACCATAACTCCTATAGAGAATGTCAACATCTTCAGTTCTACAACCTCCAGGTCTGCCTCCTGTCTTTTTCTCTTGGATACTGTCTCTAAACCAGACAACGTGGCCAGTCTCACTACTGTCTTCTACACCTGCCCTTTCATTTTTGATGAAACACATGACACCCGACACTTTTCTCCACCAATTGTCTTTTCTCAACCTGCTCTGCATGCTTCTTCACCTCTTTTCTACACTCTCCACCAATTTGGACCAAAGACTAGAGGTGGACTGGCCCTTCTGGCATCGTCCTGGTGGGCCACTTGCCTAGGGTGACCAAACATCCTCTTTTCCCCAGACATGTCCACTTTTCACTTTTTGTCCGGGCCCTTTCCTATGTAACGTCCAGCAATGGTCAGTTTTTAGGTACAGTTTGACCATTCAACATCTGGTCAAAAAGGAGACACAAGACTGCATGTGTCCCCTTTAAATTGGCCTGCCTTCATACCAGCTGGAGCTCAGAGCCTGCAGCTCTGAACACAGATAACGAAATGTCAACAATGACATTCTCTCCTCAAGGTCCAATCTTTCAGGATTCTTCATGCCTTCATATAAGGAACACTCACAGCCCGGATTTCCTAAATCAGATATGAACTTCTTCTACAACTTATAAGCTAGATAATCATTAAATAAACGTTTGTTTATTGCTACTTATAATAATTATAATATAATGAAATGTTTCATTAATCTGTGCTCAGTGATTGAAGTTTGAAATGAATGTTATGTTATGATTACAGTGATTGAAATTTGTTTCAGCATGTTAATATGACAAGGTCATCACCACTTGCACTCACACAAGAACAAAGTAAGGTTAAGTTAAACCCATGACACATAAATAGTCCTTTACCCAGATCAGAGCATCCGGTATAAAGGAAGGCGTGTTTCTGAGATTCTTGGTGATGTTCCTCAAACTTGTCAACCTCTGGTTGGCTACACAAATCATAACATGAGAACATTACAACCAGATTACTCTGGTGATTCCTCAGTTCTAGAGAAAGCTTCAGACCGGCCATCTGAAGCAAAACCCTCTAACCATCAAAGCTTTTGACACGTCGTCAAAACCTTTTTGCACCTGCGAAGCTGAAACAGCAAACAGTTCCTGCAGAACAAGCTGATATTGTTTAGACTCCTTCAGAGTCCCAGATGCGCGGTTCCATCCATCTGTTGTGACCTGAGACATATCTGGACTGGAGAAGTCGGTGCTGTGGTCAATCTACTGGACCTTCGGTGCCAGAGGTCATCTGACCTCTCTGACTTTCGGATCCACCAAGAGGGTCTCCAGAACGGGTGAAGTAGACACACATATAGTGTCTGTGTCACGTTCTGTGTCCCTCTGTCCCCAGCCTCCTCCTGTTCTCACTCCAGGTTCTCCTCTTGTGTCCCATTATTATCCCCAGCCATCTCTAGACTTCCCTCAGGTGTCCTAATCACTCCCTGATAAATCCTAGTCTATCTTATTTTAGTCCTCCTCATCCATCTAGTTATTAGTTGTTTGTTTGCCCTCAGACTTTAGGTTTAGTTTTATCCGTGTTTTATAGGTTAAGGTTTATCTGCCATCCTGCTTGTTTCTTTCCCCTCATTTAGGTTATTGTATGCACCTGCCTTCCCTCCAGATCTCACTCCTCTCAGCTGTCACCTGTTCCCCTGATCCCCTCCCTCTGTGTTTAAAAACCCTGTCTTGTCCTTCAGTGTTTGTCGGTCCATTGTTGTGCCTACATTGTGATGTTCCCTCCCGAGTTTTGCCCAAGTCTGTGCTCAGTTGCGAGCTTCTGTTTTGCTTATGGACCGCTGGATCAAGTCTCCTCCTTTAAATAAAGGATTTACTTATTTACATCTGCTCCTGTCTCGTGTGTTCTGCGTTTTTGGGTCCTAACCTCCTGCTCAGCGTGACAGTCTGATGTGCTTTTGATAATAATCAACTTCATAGCTTAAGGCAAAACAAATTCTTTTACATCCAGAACTCAGCTCTCCTAGATACGGAAGTTCTGACTAACATTGCATTCACACATAGGTTCATACATCACATTTGGTTCCATCCATCACAGTAAATGTTAGTTAACTTGTCATGTTTTAATTGTTGGTAAAATAAATTACCTTTATAAACATGACTCTTTTCTGAATCAAAACAAAGTGTGTACAATCCCCTAAAAAGAATCCTAGAATCTTCTGATTAAACACCGTAAAGACCAAGCAGGGTTGATATTCTATATTTAGATAGAGTATCCCAGCGTATTGGTCATAAGGAAAGGTAATATACACTCAACAAAAATATAAACGCAACACCTTTGTTTCTGCTCCAATTTTTCATGAGATGGACTTACAGATCTAAAATTCATTCCAGATACAAAATATTATCATTTCTCTCAAACATTGTTCACAAATCAGTCTAAATGTATGATAGTGAGCACTTCTGCTTTGCTAAGATAATCCATCCGACCTCACCGGTGTGCCACATCGAGATGCTGATCTGACATCATGAATAGTGCACAGGTGTACCTTATACTGCCCACAATAAAAGGCCACCCAGCAGCAGACCAGTCATTTAAGTATTTAGCCCAGGCAAGATGCATCTACTGATGTCTCTTGTTCTAGAGTGGCTTGACACAAGGAATGCAACAGCTGAAACTTGCCTTGCAAATGTTTGTACATGGTGGTTCTTGAATAGGGTTGGGCATCGTTTGATTTTGAACAATTCCGATTCCAATTCCTCGTTTCGATTCCGGTTCCTATCGATTCCCGATTCTGATTCTTTCAAGACATGACGTGTTTTACATGAGCCAGCTAACCACAGGTCCTACTTCATGAAATAATCTTAACTTCAACATGACTTTTAATTCTATCCATAACATCACCTTCATTTAGACAAAACGTGTTTTGGAGAAAAAAAAAAGAAAAAAAAACTTGCAGCACAACCAGTGTGTTAGTTTATGATCATAAACAAAGTCTGGAAGAAGCCTCTGGGATGAGAGGCTAAATGTCTCCAACATATCCAGAAACACCCAGCTGTTTTCAGCTAAAACTCTCAGGATGATCATGTCCAGGATGACTGAGAACCTAAACCTCCATGCTGCATTCAGTCAGAACAGAAAGTGAAACTTGAATGTATCTGGCTGCATCTGACTGCTGACGCTCCGTGTGTGATTTCATTTCTGCAGTGAGACAAACTCACCTCACACTGCCCAGTTTGTTCTTTAAAGCTTCTATTAAATCCACCGTGTTGACGTATTTTAACAAGTTTCCTCTACGCTGCAGGAGTTAAAGTTTACGTTACGGAGTAAAAGTTCCGCAGACGCGTTTGTTTATATTTTGGTGGGGGAGGGGGGACTCGGTGCTGGTCCACTCTTTATGAATCTCCCCCACATTTTTGAATGGGGTTTGTATCATAGTCCTCTCCAGGGTGCGGTTATCCCTATTGTTGTACAAGTTTTTCTATCACATTTCGTCCTTTTGTTTGCCTCTGTACACAGAGCTCTGTGAACAGTCTGCCTCTTTAGCAATGACCTTTTGTGTCTTGCCCTCCTTGTGTAAGGTGTCAATGGTCGTCTTTTGGACAATTGTCAAGTCAGCAGTCTTCCTCATGATTGTGTAGCCTACAGAACTTGACTGAGAAACCATTTAAAGCTTTTGAGTTAATTAGCTGATTAGAGTGTGGCACCAGGGGGTCCTAATTATAGAACCTCTAACTTTATGACCAGCACCTGTACTCTGGGTGAAAGCTCTTTCTGAGGCTGCCAGAAAAGCTACAACCAGCTGTAGTTTTACCACTCCTGTTTTTTTTCCTTGACACCTACAGATCGGACAGCCACGTAAGTTAGTGAAATATTGAATATGTCCTCTAAAAGCCTAAGGAATGGACTTTTTATAAGGACTCACTAATTGACTGATCTGTTGAATGAAGTATATAACTGGGACATGGCCCCATCAATGCTTGTAAAAAGGAAAAGTTGCAGCACTCTGCTGTTAAAACCAGTCTGGGTCATTTGTTAGTGCTGACCTACTAAAAGAAAAAAGGCACTGTGCAAAAGTTGTCAGTACTCATTTCCCCTTCTACTTTGCTTTTTGGGTGACATACTTTCTTTGTAATATTTTGAAGTAGTATTGATCAATAGTTCCTTCTTTCTGAATGAAGTTTTCCGCTGGCTTCTTCTTCCCTCTTTTTCAGTCCAATCTTTGGACCTGTCCCATATTTAGTGCACTGTGTGCTCAAAAACCTGGAAAACTTTGACAAATTAAGGACAAAGGAGTTCTAAAATACTGTCTACAGCAAACCATCAGCTCTATAAGAAATGCAAATAAAATATGCACAAATCTGGAACTTGAAGCTAACAGCTCTTTCAGAATCACATTGTCCTTGATAACATCCTATATTGTTTGTCAAACCAAATATTTAAAATATATATATTTTTTATTATAAAGTCAGCCAATGACATGGGGCCAGGTAGTCTTTAAAACAACCTGTCTGTATCAAAATGCCTAAAGATTTAGTTTAAAATTGGTTATTTGCTCAGCTGTCTGTTATGTGTCAAATTCCCGACTCATCTCTGGGATTTCTCAGCCCGAGGATGTAATGATCAAGGGCAAAACAATGAGGCGTTACTCAATAGTGTTGCACAGTATGTCACAGAATTCCTGATCTTCTCTATGAACAATGTTGAAGATTTGATGCAGTAAAATAACAGAAGAAAAAATGAAAAAATGAATGATCAGACCTACCCGTTTCACATCCTTCCCAAATGTCTCACTGTAGCTGGTTCCAAGGATCTCAAACTGTACGTGTGGATTGGATCCTTCAGCACGAAAATCCATCAGTCCCGTCAGACCACTGATCCGTTCCTGTAGGCATCACAGCAGAATAGATGCAGTTTGTTTCATTTGTGAAAGTTGCTTTTCTGATATAAAGGCCTACACTTGTTTTTGAAAATTCTCTAAAGCACTTAATAAAACTGACCACACTGATTTACAGAACATGGGTCTAGACACGTACAAAGATTAGTTTTTTTTTCTTCCTCAAAACATCATGATAGTTCAGACCCAACACATTTTAGGTCCCCCCCCCACACACACACACACCTCATTTTTATTTGAAATAGATTTCCACAATTTTTTTATTTTCCTTTTTTAATACATAGACCATAGATGTTAGTGAATATTAGTGAATATTCTGCTTTGGCATAAGCCACACTGGTGTACATTTGAGATAAGACCAATACGGAAAATGAAACAATTTTGAGAGATTACAGTTGGTTTTGCATAACACATGATTGCCACTGTGCCACCTTGCTTTGTTGATTCATCTTGCCCCACTAGGGCATCTATTGTCCAAGGAAATTAAACCAGTGTGACACTGTGAAACAATGAAAAATTCCATTATCAGATTAAAGTGGATGACCAGTCTCTTGTATTTGAGGCTTACCCCGGGTTTCCACCAGAGCCGTCAGCAGCACGTTACTGCAGCAGCACCTCTTGCTCGCATAAGCTGCTGCTTGGCCCTTCCCACGAGACGCGAAGCAGCAGGGGAGCAGCTGTCACCGACCGAGCACGAAGTCACACAAGTGACTTCGTCAGTAAACACAACAACAAGCAGGAGAAAACTACAACATGGCTCCAAAAGGTTTGTGTTTTATGTTCTGTCCGTTTTATAATCGCCAATACGGACCTGAAAAACAAAGGAGACCGCTAGCTAGGTGATAACTTCTCACGGGGCCGCACATTTAGTAACTTCTCTTAAAAGTAAAGCAACCGGAAGGCATTACGTTTCTTTATTCTGAAAATCTCAGGAGCTTCTCTCCATTTCCGCGTCCGATTTCCTGTCTTTCCTTCCCCAAAAATGTCGAAATTGACCCGTTTCAGAGGCGTCGCGCGTAGAAAATAGAACCGGCACGTAAAGGCCGCGACATGCTGCTCCTGAGACGCGACTGACTCGCGCTGCTGAGGCGTGCTGATGGCTCCAGTGGAAAAGTTTCTGTTGACCACAGCGGTTCCTATCAGCAGCTATGACGTGCTGCTGCGGTAACGTGCTGCTGACGGCTCCTGTGGAAAGCCGGGGTTAGTCCCGCCAGGCTGCGTTGCGGCACGGTTGCTCCATCCAAATTTTTTAAGGTCGGTTTATCCTCATTCCTCAGTGGTTTCTCCTCCTGTTCCCTCCATAAGTGGTTTTTATAAACACCGTGGATCTAACTCTGCTAATTTATGTCCACTAACTCCAACTGTTTCTGTAGTTTCTGATTCCTCCACCTCACTCTGCATGGCTCCATTAAAACCTGCTCTGCTAACAATAAGTCCTTCCTGCTCAATGATTTAATTATCTCTAAAAACCTGGATTTTCTGTTTCTTACTGAAGTTTGGCAGCAAACATCTGATTATTCTGGTCTGATTGAACTCTGCCCGAGTGGTTATTCTTTTCTTAGCCAGCCCCGGGGTTCTGGTTGTGGTGGAGGTCTAGCTGATATTTTCAGAGACCATCTTCCATGTAGATCTACAACCTCTAGTCACTTTGCTTCCTTTAAACTGCAGCTGATTAAAGTCGGGCGTAAGGACCCGTTCTACTGTGCTGTGGTCTATTGTCCACCTGGTCCAAACAGTTCTTTCCTTCAGGTTTAGTGGCTTTCTATCCTCCACTGTGAAGCTGTCCAGACTGGTGATTGTGGGTGACTTTAACATCCACGTTGATGATCCCTCTGATCACTTTGCCGTGGATTTCTCCAGCCTTATGGACTCCTTCAGCTTTACCCAGCATGTTTCTGGCCCCACACACACCGGGGCACACTCTAGACCTTGTGTTTACCCTGAGTCTAAATGCTGACAGTGGTTGTCCTGAGGACGTTTATATTTCAGATCACCATAGCATTTTCTATAAATTGTCCCTTTCTGTGTCCCCACCTCCTGCTCGCCGTATGGTTAGTTCTTGTTTTCTTAATGAGAGCACAGCTAGAACTTTTTCTGCTGCTTTTGATCCACCCTGTTCTTCTGATAACGACCCTGAATCCTTAACTTCTCATTTTAACGAGAACTTCCTCTCCAATCTGGACAACATCTGTCCTGTCAGAACCAGATCAGTTCCTGCAGTGAACCCTACTCCCTGGTTTAATGACAGCCTTCGCAGCCTAAAGTGCCATTGCACAAAAAATTAGAACTTGTGGAAGAAAACCCATCTCCACGTCTATCTGCTGCACCTAAAGGATCTTCTGACATCCTTTAACTCTGCAGTCAGAGAAGCGAGGTTTCCTATTTTTCCAACCTGGTGTCCCAGAGCAAAGGGAACCCCAAGGTGCTGTTTAACACCATCAGCAGCATTGTCTCTCCTGCCTCTCCTACAGCCTCCATCCACTCTGTTACAGACTGTGAGAACTTTCTGTCTTTCTTTGTGTACAAAGTCAATAAGGTTAGATCTAGCATCTCTCCTTCAGCCTTATCGCTGCCTCTCCCAACTCCAACCAGGCCCATCATCCTAGATAGCTTTGCTCCTGTTTCTTTGCCTGAGTTAACCAAACTAGTTAACTCTATGAAGACCTCTGCATGCCCCCTCGACATCTTACCCTCATCTTTGTTTAAAAGTGCTTTTCAGTGCATCGGTCCCAGCGTGCTCTCTATAATTAATGCTTCTCAGGTCCCTGCTTACTTTAAAAATGATGTTATCCACCCACTTCTTAAAAAACCACGTTGTGACACCTCTCTCCATAGCAGCTTCAGACCCATCTCTAAACTTCCGTACATCTCCAAGATCTTGGAAAAGGTTGTGGCTAAATAACTCACAGCTGATCTTGATGAACATAACAAATATAACTGCTTACAGTCAGGTTTTCGTAGAGCTCATTCTACTGAAACAGCTCTTCTTAGGGTCTCTAATGATCTTCAGACTCACAGTGATGCAGGGGACTGTTCTGTTCTGGTCCTGCTGGACCTGACTGCAGCCTATGACACTGTTGACCATCACCTGCTACTGGAGAGGCTGAGAGACTGGGTAGGCTTATCACGATCTGCTCTGGAGTGGTTCTCCTCTTATCTTTCTGAGCACTCCTTTTCTGTGGCCGTCTCCAAGTTTAGGTCCTCCACCACCTCTCTTACCCATGGTGTCCCACAAGGTTCTGTGCTGGGGGTCTCTGCTCTTCCTCCTCTATCTGCTCCCTCTTCAGCGCATCCTGAGCTCCTTCAAAGGAATCTCCTACCATCTTTATGCAGATGACATCCAACTGTACATCTCCTTTAAGCCCCATGAGATGTTTAAGCTGCAGCTGTTACACACCTGCTTAGACTCTATCAAAACCTGGATGGCTGGGAACTTTCTTCAGCTGAATGAAGATAAGACTGAGATCCTCATCTGTGCCCCAGACAAGCTGGTTCCCAAAGTCAGAGACTCTCTTGGTCAGCTTGCTTCTCACACCAAACCTTCCATCAGGAATCTTGGCGTGACCTTTGACCCAGCTCTCACCCTGGATTCTCATGTCAGTTCTCTTGTTCGCTCTTCCTTCTTCCATCTCAGGAACATTGCTAAGCTGACTCCCGTTCTGTCTCGCTCTGAACTTGAGACAGTTATCCACTCCTTCATCTCCTCACGCTTAGACTACTGTAACTCTCTTTTCACGTGTCTGAGCAGAACCTCCCTGAACCGTCTACAGGTGGTTCAGAATGCCTGTGCTCGGCTTCTGACCAAGTCCTCCGAACACACCCACATCACCCCGCTTCTCCTCCAGCTTCATTTGCTGCCAGTCAACTTCAGGGTTCATTTCAAGATCCTGGTTCTGGTCTATAGGGCCTTACATGGACAAGCACCATCTTACATTGGTGATCTTCTTAGTCCCTACACCCCCAGCAGGTCCCTGAGGTCCAGTGATCAAAGACTACTGGTTGTGCAGCGCATCAGGCTAAAGACCAAAGGTGACAGATCATTTGCTGCTGTGGCCCCCAGACTCTGGAACTCTCTCCCCCTGAGCCTGAGATCAGTGGACTCAGTGGTCTCCTGCAAAAAGCAGCTGAAGACTCACTTGTTCAAGCTTTTGTATGACCTTCTTCACCACTCTCTCTTTATTCTGCTCTCCCCACTTATTCCACCTTCCTCAGGATCCACTGATTTCCCTCTTTCCTATTCACTCTCTCAATTTCTTAACACTTTTTAATCACAATTGTCTATTTTTTGCTCATTTAAAATATATTTTAATCATTTTCTAAATTCTTTTTTATATTTTTACATTTTTTGTTTTTGTGAAGCGCCTCGTGATTTTTTTATCTTGAGAGGCACTATAGAAATGATTCTTCTTCTTCTTCTTCTTCTTCTTCTTCTTCTTCTTCTTCTTCTTCTTCTTCTTCTTCTTCTTCTTCTTCTTCTTCTTCTCCTTCTTCTCCTTCTTCTTCTTCTTCTTCTTCTTCTTCTTCTTCTTCTTCAATGCAAGGACTGAGACGGCTACATAAGTATAACACGATCAAAGCCCGGAAGCTGCCACAAGTCCATTCTGATGTCAGCAGAGTAAATCACATTTCATAACCAGCTTTTTTGGGGGATTAACAGAAGAAAAAAGTAGCAATTCTCTAGCAAGGACCACAATATATTAATCCAAGTTTGCTAATGAATGCTTTAATTATGTATTATTAGATAATAGTCAGCTATTTGTCCTTTCACAAAGCAAGTGCATCCAAACCTTCTGAATGGTGTCCAGCATGGACCATCCTCCATTCCAAGGCTTTGTGGACTTTCTCATGCAGTTCAGACTGGCCATGCTGTGCCACTTCCTGTCCTCCAGTTTTCTATAAAATGCGTTGGCCAGCATCAAAACGCTGTCGTACAGGTAGAGATTGGACACCTGTCAGAAGGAAGAAAGGCATGCACTTTTCAGAAAAATTTATTCTTGGATTTTTGTTGTTCACTGCAGCATGGAACACAAATACAACACAGAAAACCAATACAACTACTTGGGATCTAGAAAATATGACAAAGCCCTGTGGGGGATCTCTGCGAGCGAAGCAGGAGCATAGTAGTTTTTCTCCATGAAAAATTGATGGGGACGAATAAATATTTTCTCTTTTGTTGGTTTGTTTTCTCTTTTTTGGAAGACCCAATTCTTTTATTCAAAGCCATCTATGGTTTAAATGGAGTTTCGAGGTTAAGAGTTGATTTTTAATTTCTGAAGAGTGATGGATTAAGTCTTCCTGGAGTTCATTCAACTTCCCTGTGTCACGGAGTGACAATTGATTTGATCGGTTTTCTGGGTCAAATCAAGTTGCACCTCCTCACGGGAAAAGACCCACAGAAACAATTTCAGCTGCTACTCCAGGCACTCGGTTCATAACGTGTTTAGAATTCACCGTTTGGAGCAGCCAGTCACCAACTTGGCTTCACATGCCTCAAGGCCTGTGAGTCGGTCGTCAAATTCAGGTGAAAATTTAGCTCCAAACATCTGAGGTCACGTCACAGTTTGTGGGTTGTGAAGGAGATTAGTGCAGGTAAATCACGCCCATCTTTTACTGTGAAACTATTCTGATAAATGCTTTTACTGCCATTACCTGATATTTAACCCTCTTTCATGTGAATTATTGAGGACTGAGGGTGCAGGCGCCACATGGTTTTGCCATCTGTCCATAGAATGGATAAAAAGGAAAAGGAACATTTCAATAGAGCCGCAGGGAACAGCCATTGAGCTCCAGATGGATTGAGCCAAACAGAAGTCTGAGAGGTGTAAGGAAACACTTTCAACTATTTATTGAATAATAAATGACAAACTCAACAAGGTTACTTTGACGACAAAAAGGAAATAACTTTGTGTTGACTGACAACTCTGTATGACTGTCATTGGCTGGGTGTGGCCATAAATGGGTTCCTTTGTACTAAATTTTCTGATTAAAATCTGAGCAGGGTGCTTGTTTTTAGAATGTTCCAAAGCGTCTACCTCATAAAGTTTTGTATTACCTGTTGAGTTTGTTCTGGTAAAACTAATTTGTTGGTTTTAAAGGTCTCTTGAATGTCAGAATGAAATGACGTGAACTTTATTTTTTTTTGAAAATGAAGTGTTTTTGTCTTCTTTTTAAGTCTAAAGCAACAATTTTCTCTGTTCTTCCATTTGTTCTCCAGAAAAGAAGCGCACCAGTCATTTATATTCATGAGTGTCCATGTCGCTCATAATTATCTTGCCAAGGGAGCTTCACATACATTTAGTTGCATACATAATCAGTTATTATTGGCAGTTATATGACACTGTGTACCTTGGCTGCAAGGTGATGCTGTGCTTTAGGCTGATGATTGACTGAGCATTGCTATCTACTGAAATAAAGTTAAATTTAACAATTCATGGTTTTTGTGTCAACTCTGAAGATTGAAACTGGCACCCAGTGGAGAAATGGGTGTTAACTTAAAGGGGCATTATGGAAGTTTGACAGCCAAAACATGTATAGAAATAATACATTTCTTCTTCATACATTCTCCTGCAATGCCCTGGTCCTGTAGAATGAGCCCTGGCATTTTTACTGTGATTGCCTGTTTTTCTGTAAAATCACAGAAAAAGAGAGCTGCTCGGGTCGAGCAGGCTGCTTCATGCGCGTTCACACTCAGGCATAGCCCGCAGCATTTGCTAACCGTAGCTTTAGCAGCAGAGAGAGGGGTAGTGCTCCTAACGCCTAGTGACGAACCTAGCTACATTTCTGAAGACCCTTAGCTACTTTCTGTAGAACTTTCTTCTAGATATTTCCTGCAAATTAGCAACAAAATGGCCATTTTCGCTCCGAACTGCTCTTTGGTTTGACGTTGTTTCAGCTGTCATCAACGATATACTTGTTACAGATACAAAAGACATCACTGGTGTTTTAGCTCACCTAGTAAGATGCAGTACTCTCGTGCAGGAGACCTGGGTTCGATTCTGGATGTGAACAAAATTTATTTAGAGTTTCTTTTTTACATTAATGGTATATTTTTTTTACAGTAAGATGCCCAAATTTTATTTGAGACTCGCCGAACGGCATTGAATTCACAAATTAAAAAAATGTGGGTTCAACTTTCATTTTGGAACAATTTTTCAAGCAAGGGAAGGGACAGCGGGAAAATGTCTGAACCCTTCATCTGAGCATGCAGGAAGACTGACCCATCATAAACCTTTGTCGGCTGTGCTGAAGAGAAAGGTACAGAACCAAATTATTTAACTAATTAGCTGCGCGTTCTCCTTCTCCTGTCCTCTGTCCTCCGGGCCACACACACACACACACACACACACACACACACATAAACACACAAGGGACTGTCTCAGCTGTTATTTTCGTTAAGGAGTGTGCACGTACAGCATGTGCGCCTCGTGCACGAGCCTACTATTGAAGCTGTGGCCTGAGGGGGCAATCGCGAGCCTAAAAATTCAAAATTCCGTGAAGTCCCTTTAAAGACCAAGTTCTCTCATTTTTTTCAACACATATATAGTGGTCTCCAATATAATTAATATCTTGAGTCAACTTCTGTGAGGAGAAAAGCTTTCATGCTCCTATTTCAGGAAGTAGAATTAAGCCCGGGGCACATATGGAACTAGGATTGGGACAACATAACATGTACGTTGTACCATGTTTTGTAACTTGTATCATGTTTTGTAACTGTGACTTTTGTTTTGTAGCATGTAATTCATGTTTTGTAACACAACTTCCATTTTGTAGCATGTAATTCTCATTTTGTAACGTAACTTTGGTACGTTACATGAAACTTTTATTTTGCAACTTGCAGAAAAAAACAATGTACAAGTTTCAAATCACAACTTTCAAAACACAAATCTCAGTCTACAGTTACAAAACTCAAGTCTACAAGTACAAAACATTTTGTCCCAATTCTAGCTTTCCTCCAACAGGAATTGTCTTCGACAGAAATCCAAGACTCATGATTGGCTGGTCAGACAAAGCCTGTCATTGGTTCGTTGGGATGCAATCTAGAATTGGGACAAAATGTTTTGTACTTGTAGACTTAAGTTTTGTAACTGTAGACTAAGATGCGTGTTTTGAGAGTTGTGAGTTGAAACTTGAACATTGATTTTTTTCTGCAAGTTACAAAATAAAAGTTTCACGTTACATACAAAATGTTACATGGTACAAAATGAGAATTACAAGTTAAAAAACAAAAGTTACAGTTACAAACCAAAAGTTACAGGTTACACAGCTTGGTACAAGTTACATGTAATATTGTTCCAATCTTAGTTCCATAGGCACACCGGAGACAGACGCGCTGCAATTTTAAATAGGAGCCATTATAGATAATGAGTGGGCATACGGGGAGCACTGTGCCGTGCTTAGGCATTAAAGATAGGCGCTAGTTCTATCTTAAGTGCCACGGCTGTTTACAACATTGTGAAGTACTTTACAACAGACATTACAACGCAGAACGGCTTTACGGCACAAACTCAGCCGCCAGCACAAACCCAGCCACAGTTTTGATAACTTTAAAGTACTATTGCTATTAAAATATTCCAATAGTGTCAGTCCTTGATCGGAACCACGCTATTCTGTCGGTGCCTTAAAAAGTACCAAATTCAGTGTCCACATCTAAATGTGACTATTCCATTGACCCAGTTTCCTCTACAATGTTGTCTCACACTGAATGCATAAGAGTTGGCAGCCCTGCATGTTGTAGAGTTGCTAATGCTAACGGTTAGCTTCTATTTGGCGATACATTCTCTGCCTCCCCTGTCATGAACCATTATTGGTGAGTCCATTAAAGACATCTTTCACTCATATTTTTAATACATTTGCAGTGGTCTATAGAAAAAATGCCTTATAAGTCATACTCTGGATAAAAACAGTTTTCGTATGCCTGTTTCAGAGTGGAGAATTCAGGCGAAAATAGCTTCAGACAGCAGGATTTGGAGTCTTATTTCCTGATAATCTGACGTCTCGTCTCTGATTGGCCAACAGCCATAGCATATAGCATAAGCCTGGAGAAGTTCTCCCGTGCTGTGAAGTTCCTAATGATAACAGTTAGCTTATACCAGTCGGAATGTTCTCAGCTGTTTCCTGGACGCTAATCCAACAACAGCCTTCCCCGTAACGAACCAATTGGGTGAGTCCATGAATGTTAAGTGACAGTGTGATATAGACTTGTCAGACTTCAAATCCTAGGGTTTCACTGTGTATTTTCTATCAGAAGCTAACGCAGGAGATAGGGGTAGGAGACTGTTTTCATGTTCAGCCTGCATGAAAAACGCAGTGGCTGATCATTTATAGAAAAAAGGAGTACAAAATTTCTCAAAGGAGGACCTTTTTAATGCAAATTTTCGGTGTGACATAGATTTGAGTGGCTTTTTCTCACCACAGCATTGCAGTCTATTTAATATTAGTGGCTAATGCCAGAACTGGGAGTAGAAGACGATTTTCACGTTTAGCCTGCATGTGAAACTCTTGAACTTGGTCTTTAATATAATCAAAGAACTGTTTTGAGAGCATATCCCTAGACTAATGGGCCAACACATCATAACCACTGGGAGGTGAAGTTACTTGTATTTACTAGTTTCAATTAACACTTTTGCTAGTACCCTGGTTTAGCCTGACACACAAGTAAACTGCCACCTCATGGTCTAGGTTTTGATCCAATCAGAACAAACGGATGAATTTTTCACACATATTTGATGAGACTTTCTTTGTGAGATCAATATAATCAGTGAAAGGGTTATTTTTAATTTTTATTTTTTTACCTCAAGAGACTGCAGGTAGCCTTCCTGTGGATCACACAGCAGGGAGGAAATGCGATGATTGTTCCTCATACAGCGAACGTTGGTGTCCCTCCACAATGGGAAAATCTGACGAATGATTGTCATCCGGCCCAAAGAGCTGTGAACCAACTCCATGATGTCTGCATCACTTACCTCCTGGAGAGGAAAATGACAGGAGATTTTCAGTGCTTCCACTAAATCAAGTAAAACATCTCAGATCAGCCATGGTGCCTGTTGGCTGAGATATCTTGATTAAAATACAAAACATTTCAATAAGTCGTTGTTGGACTACTAATTCTTAGGCTTGGATTCACATGCAATTCCATCTGTTAAAATACATTATTTTTATTTGTACATCTGGACATTTTTATCAGTTTAACCAAAAAACAACTTATTTCTAAATCCATAGTTTTGTCAAACTATGAGATCCTATTGAAAATGTTTATCGGTATTCCAATTAGGATGAAAAATTGATGCTCCTTTAATAAATATCCTTTACAAAAGCAGCACAGGCGACTCCTGGTTTCCTTCAGTGTGGGATGCTTGCAGGATCAGATCTATATTCATAAGACACTGTGCTGCCTGCTAGTCTCCAGAGCAGAACTATGGTCAATGCTGAGGCAGACAGTGGGTCTCATGAGAAACATCAGATTCATATAGTTCCTGACAATAAAGCTGTGAGGTCAGGTTGAATCTTAGCTGCTCCAGGGTGTTTTATTCCTGACCATGCTCTGAATACATGCTCTCAATCGTTGGCCTTCATCAGATGTTTTGATCTCTTTGTTTAGCATAAACCTTTCAGTTTTTATTGCAGGTCTATGGGTACACTTAATGTTAATTTGCCCAGGTCTCTGTGGTTGTATAGTGCTTCTGTTTATTGTAATGTGGCTTTAGAAGCTTTTATCTTGACATTGTGTTGAGATCTATTTTTTACCCTTACCAATTTTAAACATTAGCTTTGCTTTTTTTTCTTTTCAATTTTGTTTCTAATTTTGTTTACCTTTAGCTTTTCACATTCTATGTCCAGATCATGTCGTAACGTTACAAAAACAGAGAAATGATGCAGCTAATACATTCTCTTAGTTTTTTTAATTTTTTTTATATTTATTTTTTTTTCATCAATGTGAGTAAAAGCCCCTCAGGAAATTTTTGTTCATCTGATTATTATTTTTTTTTCCCGTTTCCCCCTGACTCTTCATAGCTAGTCAGCTGGAAACTATGAATATTCATTAGTTGGTGCGACACATTAATCAGACAAATTATGTCCCTTGGTTCACCGAGCTGAACCCCGATGTCCAAATTAATATCTGGGAGTGCCACATGGTCCAAGTGTTCTGTCACCATCACAGGTAACATTTGTCATAACCTGAACCTACAGTTAAACTGACCAACAGGACATGGACCTGGAAACATGTGTCTACTATACAAGCGGGAAAATGTCTGAACCCGTCATTCAAGCTAGAATGTTGCAGCTACTGCTGTATAAAACATCTAAGTACCATAACGGTCCCCCCATGTTTTTAAAACAATCAAAGGCATGGACTGTAATCAATTAAAGTTACTGACTTAAATCAAAGTATCACTTCTAATACAAACTGGTTTTCAAATCTACAGTCATCAGGTAATTGTGTTTCTGGTCAGACTTTTAAAACCATTAATAAAGTCCAGCCCAGCTTCAGTGACAAGCTGGTGAACATTAATCAAGTCCAGGTGACAACGACACTAAATTATCCTCTTTGTGCGTTCATTCTATGTTATTAACCTTTCACTGGAAATAGCATTTTTACAGGTAATTATGTAATTTAAAAGCAAGCTATGGCATTGTTTTTTATTCAAGTGGCACACAGCTTAGCTGACAGGCAGTGGGTGTCAAGAATGGAGAACAAAGCTCTGGGCTAGACATTCATTTGAGTTCTTGACTATAAAAACATTTTCATGTGATCTGAACATATTGAAAGAAAAGACAACAGGTTGATTAGTCTCGTTCCTTTTCCTGATGACAGAACTTTTAAAATCTATTATTTTGCATTTTAAGGTGAGCATAAGTCAGCCCAAAAAAAACCAGATAAGATATTTCCAGTATGTGTGATTCACATCGACCAGACACTCATACTTACAACATCACTTTAAGGGAAGTGGTCGCTTGACTCACCTTTCGAAAGACATGCCCACCTTTGAAAAAAGCTAAACAACTGGACCTACTAATTAATGTGTTCACCCTCCATCATCATCATTACCCATAATTCCCCAGCATGCTGGTTGAACCCAATATACTGAGGTAAAATGGGAGTTGTCACACATTAAACCATTATTTCATGTCGATAACAGTTGAACCCAGACTTGCAGATGCTTTCATTTGCAACACCACATAATTGATACAATTTTTTTCAATTACATTAAGATAATACTGATTAAAAGATGATTTCTCAACTTGATTAAATACCAGGGGTTACCAACATCTGGTGTTGTGGTAAAAACCACCCCCCTGCCAATCACAAATGTTCTGTTGATGTAAGGAATAGCTGGCAAGGCAGAAAATGCGGCTCTAACCCATGGCACGATTGTCACTTAGCTGATGCCACCAGCTATTTGTAATCACAGCTGGGTTCCTCACTGAGTCGCAACGTGCTCAGTCACTTTAAATTATTTAAGGGGGAAGTGCACCAGCTTAAGGAGGAAAATTAATGTGTGACCTACATGGCACAACAGTTGTTTGAAAACGGCTTATAAACAATACAATAAAATAAGGTTATGGTTTATTTGCATTAAAGGTTATACATGATGAACACACTGCCAGAATACTGACTAATAATCTAATCACGTGATTAGATAAATAATGTGAATGTATGTTTTGAAAAATCCAGTCGAGAGCTCATCACAGCCAGCTCTAGATTTTTATGGTTCTTCAATTGGGTTTGAAATCTAATCACCACAGGCAACAGATGTTATAACCGTGAAACTTCAGCCAGCAGATGAGGTGTGAAGATGTGAATGGGGAAAAAAAGCTGGGCAGGTATGAAATTATTGCTGCTAGAGTGATGCTCGTCTGTTTGCAATGATGTGAGGCTTTAATGACCACACCTGTGGCATAGCACGCAGAATGATGAGAAGTGTGTCTTTCATTACTGCTTCCTGTCATAATGTTTTAATTAACAGAAACAGCTGAATCACATAATGCATTCCTCAGTGCATTTGCATGCACATGATCATTTCAAACGGAAAAAAAATAATGCTGCCAGGAAATCAACAATGTGGCTGGAGTTTAGTTTTTGCTGTGCTTAAGACATCAAACAGAATGAGTAGCACTTTGAACGTGTTTAATAATTTAGCCTATTGTAGGAAGAATATTTGTTCACTCTTAGGTATAAGCACAACTATAGCTTCCCGCTACCTTTGCATCAGCTTGTTTGGGTGGGAAATTTAACACTTGGGTTTAAGAATACATAATTTGGCCTTTGATCTCACAAGCCTCTTTCAGAAAACAATGCCGCCAATTTGCCGCAACACTCAGGGAGCCTTAGGTCATTTATAAGTGGCCAGTCCGAGGCAGTTATGAGACGCAATCGTGTCCGTTTACAAAAGATTACGTAATAGAGATATAAAGGGGGTATGGCGGTGGTCTCTACGCTGCCGCGGACTTCTGTTTAAGTTGGACTTAAAGCGGCTTTCCAGAGTTTTCCTCTTTCAGAAATTATGTATGATTTGTCAGAAATCCTTAAAAGTGATTATCTTATCATGTACTGTGATATAATAATATAAGCAATACGTCTTTTTTGTTTGTTTGTTTGTTTTTGCTAAGCACGCCCCCTGCCCGGCAGAGCTCCAAGCAATAGCAATCTGAGCGCCGACCGGAACTAACCAGTGGCATTAGACTTCCGCTTAGACGCTTCACATTTAAAGAATAACTCGGCTGATGCAGAGTTGATGAACTTTTCACAGACAAGAAAGTCTCTAAAATATAAATATATGAAAACACAACATGACATGAGAATAATACTCGTAAAAGAACGTGTTTAGCTCTGTTTGTCGGCTACAGAAGCACATTTATAAGCAGAAACGTGAAGTCGACATCTTAAAAAAACTGAGGAACAACGGTTTTGTGTGATACGCTTGCCAGCCACTAGATGGTGCCATTGGATAAAAGAAATACTCCGGTAAGACACTTTCAATTGCTTTTTATTGCAATCGAAGCCGCTCTCATTACGTTTTTTTTCACAAGCCGCTCCAATAGGTGTTTGTCCTCCACAGTCCCCATGATCTGAGCTCCAGCTCTAATAAAGAAACTTCCGGAGCTCTGCTTAACAGTTTAACATTCCGGAGCTCAGTTTAACATTTCAGCAGATTCTGGTTACAAAAGCAAAACTTACTGCCCATGAACTTTTATTTTCAATATTGTTTTCTGCCGGAGCTCGGCAGGAATTCTATACGCGATCATGACACCTCCCTCTGTTGCGCCAAGGCGTATCATGCATTCACAAGTCTGGTATTACTACCAAGCATGCCAGCATGAAAGCCGCAAATTTCCCAGACCTCCATGCCGCCATGACGCGTTCATAAGACACACAGTATTATGCAAGCATGGTGTGTATTTTCAAAGTGGCAGCATGGAGATGTGGGAATTTTGAAGCAATCATGCCGCAGTAATATTGCCACAACACCATACTTGTTAAGGCATATTACACCTTGGCGCAAAAGAGGGTGGTGTCACATTCCCACGTAGAATTATTGACATACTCAGGCTGGAAACTAAATAGAAAATGAAAGTAAACATGGCCAGTAAGTTTGGCGCTGCTTCGATCGCAATAAAAAGCAAGTTATGTCCAAGTTAAACGGAAGCCCGCGGCAGCACAGCGAGTGCCCCATACCCCATTTATACCACCATTGCCTAATCTTTTGCAAGAACGACACGATTGCATCACATGACCTCCACGGTGTGACCACTTATAAACAACCAAAGGCTCTCTGATGCCTGCTCAGCGTTGTGGCAAATGGGCAGCATTGTTTTAATAAAGACACATCAGAGTGACCAATCTTGTAAAAAAATAAAACAGTATTATACATTTTCAGTGAACCCACTTTTTACATTTACAATCATGATGGTGGATTTCTTAACGTAACACCAAACCCTAACCCTCTGAACACAAAAAGATTTATTT